TCCATTAAACTAAGGTATAACCAACAGTACCTAGCTTTGACCAACCCATCTGCAACCACTAAATTCCATTCATAAGTAGGACACGATACTCTGATCGACCTAACTTGGTCATGATAATTATGAAGGAGGATGTCACAGCCTGTGCAGATAACTGTTCCTATGAGTGGGAATTAATCACCTGGTGCCTATATGACCAGTAGTTCACTGGCATGATCAACGTATTGAATGCGACTGAGGAGGCCAGAACCGAAAAGACAGCCGTGGCCCAAGCCCAACGAATCATTTTGGCGAACAGGTTGACCCAGCCTGAGCAGTGGTAGCCCGAGTTCAAGACCTGATATGGAAAAGAACCAAAATTATTACACCTCGATGTTTTTACAGATACATATTTGAGAATCAATGCCGCTCTTGACTCGGAAAACCTCGCAGCACAGCTGCATCGAGTCAAATCCGAATGTTGTAGTGGGGATTGGGTTCAGGCGAAGTGTGGTGCTGAGCCTGAACCGAAGATCATAAAAGTGATTAAGGTCGTCCGGCCAAAGAAAAACTATCTCCGCACATATAGAGGACGGCCATTCCTGCTGACGTCCTCCCAGGCACATGCAGAAGACACAGACGAGTTCCCAATGCTGGGTTAAACCCGGCAATATCGTCCAACGGAAGTTATTTCGTCCAGCGCTCCCAATTCTTGTGGTCGCAGGTACAGTTGCCAGCTAGGCATGGTCAGACAGTAACCCTGACCCCGTGGATTACAGCTCAAATGTCACAGCCAGCTGCACACAGAAACGTTGATTTTTGATGGTCAGATTTCACTCTTCAGCCTTTAAGAGTCATGGACGGTCAGGCTTGACATGCAACCGAAGCGTGTGGTCCTCCTGGGTCAAGTCGAGACACTTGTGGTTTTCGCGCATGTCACTGAAAGCCAGGTGCCGTTTGCACAGCAGCAAGTGCTATGTCTTACTTCCATCACTGCTTGCGCTGTTCCCACGGTAATTGTTCCAGAACCGTTCCACTGCCAACTGGGCAATCCGGTTATGGCGATATCTGCCACGGAAATAGTTGAATAATGCAAATTCGTCCCCATCCAGCACATAGCTATCTGGCGCATTCTGTATCCTTTGCCACAGATTCGTGATGGCGGCCTCGAGTATGGCGGTCGTGCGTCGATCAACAGCATCAGGCTCGCAGTTACGGGCACGCTCCAGTGCTTCGCGGACGTTGGAACCATCTGTAGGTGCTGCGGAATTGGCCATTTGTCACGGTTTGAGAGTGATGATCCTCGACACCTTGAGAGATATCTAGGGCTGTCTGCGCGTGGGCGTTTCGAAGGAAATAGAAACGCTAGCAAGTACTCCGTAGCTGGGTTACCGATTCAGACAATTGACAGAGGGAACAAACAGAGTGGAAGAGAAAAGAACAGAACGAAAGGAAAAGGGAAAGGAGAAAGAAAGAAAAAAAAGCACCAGAGAGCAGCGAGAGATTATTTTCAGAAATTTAAATATATCGATCGAAATCCCTGGCAAAATGCGTACTCGAGGAGAACCCCCTCCAAATCTGTCAAATTAATGCAGCCAGGGTGGAGAAGGGAGGGCAATCGTGGATCGAATCTCCTACAAGGGATCGAGAGAAGTCGGGAACGGCTACATATTGTTGGCCTTTGGGAGATCTGCCGTTTCTTTTGTCTTTTCCTCTGTTCATACGCCCTACAGGCAGTCTCGCACTTTCGCACGCGAGCCATTCGCAACGCGTGTGTTCGACATCTGACAAATCAGTCGACGCAACAGCCGATTGCGATTGCAGAAGATACAGCAAAGGAAGACTAAGGTAGACAGAGCCTAGAGATCTTTTAGCGCGCTGATAGGACTCTCATAAGCAGTTTGTTCTGTTTTCAAGTGTTCATAATTCAGTAACAACGACCATGTGGCAGGTGGAGTCTTGGTACGGGACGGGCATACCCGCTGTAGGCTGTAGACCTCTATAGCAGAGACGCCTGAAACGAACAGACTTGACTAAGTTAAGGTAGAGGTATGTAAGTCACTTGGTCTACCTGTACTCCGGATCTACCGCCGTAGCCCGACTGCCTGAGACTGATTCCAACGCTAATCGATCCCTTGTCGAGTTGGCGTAACGGCTTTTCTCCCTGTCAACCGACGAATCATATATCGACCCACCCACGGTTTGCACCTTGTGTGAAATTGCTGTCTGGCGGCCATCACTGAAACCAGCTCCTCCTGCTAGGCCAGTAGTAAAAGTACTACTCTGACTACTGACTAAGAACTACTTGCAGCGGAGAGTGACGGTCGTGAACTCGAGAGCCGGGCACTCGGTGTACGTACGGACTACTCCCTACAGGATACACAAATTCTTGTTTGAGTATCGGAGTAATCCCCAAGTGTTTGGCGCTTACACGAAACAAATACGTGATTTCCCTGTATGGTCTCGGTCTTGGAAGTTCAGAGGTGGGTACTACTTTATATAGGCGGACTACGTACTACCCACTACGGAACATGTCCAGTATCAATTCATTTTACCGTTCGTCGATGACTGGCAAAGTCCGACTCTTCCACTACATGCCACACCAACCATGGATGTCACTTGGACACCGTGTCCAGTGCATGAGTTAAGTGGAGATTGGTGGTTACTTCTAGTAGTGAATTCGAGTAGTGACTAGTGAGTGAAGCGAATCAACCGATATGGTCGACGGAAAGCCAGACAATTGAATGACTCGCATGATCGCACTTGGTTCAAATTTATGGCTTCGAAAATTGCCTTCAATCTCGTGATCATCCATTGTGGCTAGATAGTCGGTAGTATGAATCAAATACTCCCATGCAGTCAAGGGGTGTCTCGGAGGTCCTGCCATTGTCCCAACTTGGGAGGACAAGGAAACACGCCGGTGGAATTTGGGCTATGCGAGTATCAGATTCCCCGGCTTTCCCTCACTGGTATTCAGTAATGATGGTTGCAGGCGAGTACCAGGTACTTCTCCATGCAAGTATCCATGTCCTATGACATAAGGTGGTGCAGATAGTCTTTCCAAAGGCAATATGTAGGTAATGATCTTCCACTCTGTCGGCCCTAGGAACCCGACAAGGACATCTTACTGTTAAGCTTACCGACTTCCTTTTCCGAATGAATTCCTCCGCGGTGCGAAAATCAAAAAGAAAAGGGGAAGGGCGAAGAAGGAAGAAGGAAGCAAAAGTATATATGAATGCGATATCACCCGATTAGATCATGACAATGACACTCGGGACCGACTGTCATGAAACCTAGGTTGATGCAGTGGCTGACCTTATTGTCCTGCTCGGGGACGATCATGAATCCTCACTCTATCTCTCACTTGCGCTCGAAATTCACATTGTTACCATCGCGGCTGGTTGAATGTGATGATATAGTCATAGGTTAATTACATGTCAATCCTCTGGGAAGGAAAGCACTCCGTGCTATTATTGAATTATAATACCACTAGGCCAAAAGGGTGTCCGGACATGGTCCTCATCAGTCTAGGGTCTTATATCCATAGTCATAGTGGTAGTATATTTTTAATAGCTATGCATACTGGTTCTTGCCGAGAATCTCGCAGCCAGGTGTACCGAAATACCTGTTGTTGTCTGAATGAAGCTGTCTGCTTCCGGTGTACGAAGTATTGAGGAATTATATCCTTGACATAGTGCGTCTTTATCCAGATGAGCGTACTATGTTCCATAATAATCATAGTTATAATTATTATATATCTAGCCGCGTTGATTTACTATCAGATGGGGGGGGACAACTGACAATTCGACCAGCGTTCTCACTTCGGGCCCCAGGGCAATTGGTATTCGGGAAGCCGGAGTGGTATGATGGGCATACACGAAGGATTTTTGCAAGTTTGCAGCAAATGACCATACAGGAGTGGGCAACATATAAGGTACCCTGGTCCGGAGGCCTGAAATGATCATTTGAGAGGTTGATGACGGAAAGGTTCAAAGTACTGTATCCCCAATGCTGCCCAGGAAGGCAGAGCTGTATAGATCAGCGTACCTATGATTGTACATCGTGTTACTTAAGGTAAGGTACCTTTATGGTGGAAATGATACTGAGACAATCTGTTACACTGAGCTCGGATCGGAGTTCCTTCTCAATGATGCTTAGCCCCATTCCATATTTAGAGGTAGTTGTTAACTTGTCTCTTATCATTATCAATGATAGCACATCACCAAATGTAATCACTTGAGGCTGATGTTATTTAAAAAAAAAAAAAAAAAAAAAAAAAAGGAAGAGAAAAAAAGGAGAAGGAATACTCTGTAGTATCTACATGGCTAAAACTACCAACCTTACCTGTATGCGTCATCATTAGAAAGACATTACAAGCTTAAGCTTACACATTCTAATACCATCACTTATTTTAAGACTGATGCTTAGTTATAGTTATCGCGGATGATATAAATTGTCATACATAAACTAAGGAGCCTAGGCTTTTAACAAGGGAGTGAATCTAAAAGTAACTAGAACAGCAATTAAACTGACTACCTTACGGAGTACAGAAGGATTAGATAGTATGTAGTAAATTTCTCCACCTAAGTTCCTAAGAAAATGACCAAACCTAGAAAATCCCACCCCACTGTTTCCCACTGAATTTATCAACAAGGGCTTATCAACCATCAAGACAAAGATTCTTTCATAGTGTTTCTGCTAGCTAAGAGGCGCTTATACTGCTGCAAAACGGCAAGATGGTATACTACTTTACCTCAAATGTGGTGAAACCTGCTGCCTTTATCTATGTCGGTAAAGACAAATTTGAAAGTATGACGGCCATTCTTCGACTCTGCGAAACGTGCCCAATATCTAAAGTCCCTGCTATTAGATGAGGATCTCATCCAATATGGCCTAGAGAAGGATGTCTGGTACCGCTAACCACCACCTATATCCTCATCATTGTGCTGAGTGCTAAGAATTGACTTATGGTTATCACCCCAGGGTTTGTTGTTCACCTCCCTACTCCCAAGACTCAAAGCATAATGAGGTCCAAACTCCTGTACTTATGCAGTACCCAGTTTCATGTCGATAATCTATCGAGCGCTCACGTTTACCTGCGCCTTCGCGATGGTGAAACGTGGGACCAGATCCCACAACCGCTCCTAGAAGACTGTGCCCAGCTCACCAAAGCCAATTCCATTGAAGGTCAGCCCTGAAGAACTTCTGTTCATGTGACAGAATATAAGAGTGGGAGGTAAAGCTTATCGGCGGTGCAGGAAACAAGAAGGATAACATCACAGTGATTTACACGCCATGGTCAAATTTGCTGAAAGACGGGTCAATGGCGACTGGACAGGTCTCATTCCACAACCCCAAAATGGTCCGAAAAGTCTATGTTCGACAGCGAGAAAATGCAATTGTCAATCGGCTCAACAAGACTCGCGACGAGAGATTTCCGGATCTTCGCGCAGAGAAGGAGGAATTTCTAAAGAAAAAGCAAAAGGAAGAACGAAGAGCAAGAGATGAGCAACGTGCCAGGGAAAAGCAGGAAAAGAGGGAACGTGAACAGCTTAAATGGCAGAAAGAGCATGCGTACGATGACTTGTTCAGTGAAGACAACATGCAGGCAAGCAGCAATCAGGATCGAGACTCGGACTTCCTGGACGACTTCATGTGAATGAAATCTGCTAGGCATCAGAATTCATGCGGATGACTCAGTTGAACAAGAGCTACTGTAGTCTCTTCTTCCCTTACAAGTTGAGGCTCCTCGAGGCAAATGAGCTCTCGGCAGACCATAAATATGGAATCACATGAATCAGCTGTGTGATTGTCGTCCAGGCTTCTCGACGTTGGACCGATATGGTCTATGTCAATATAACAAAACGTGGCTCCTATGGCTATTGGCTGCTGAGTGCACCGCACTACCCGAGTCGAGAGTGGACGGCATAGATGCATTGCGCGGAGCCGCTTTAAGACACATTTTCTGTTTCCATCCCTCGAACACAAGTTCACCTTTTGTAACACCCAGCGTAAAAATGGAAAAATGTAATGCCTCATTACCTGTATGTATCGATAAGTGCTTGCCACGACGTTGGCTCGCCCTGGATGTCGTAACTACTAGGATGCGGACTTGGCTCGGAACAAGTGCAACCGCGCTAGTGGTGTTGACAGGTATGCCCTGGACCTGGTACCCAGAGTAGCGCCGGCCGTCTTAAGCAATTGCCATCCCACCGAAGCTTCCTTAAACAGCATTTACACAAGATGCCCGAAGGTAGGTTGCTGGTCTGTTTGAATTAATAAATAATCTTCAAGATTTCTGCCTAGGAATCACACTGACGACTCAGCAGCAGCCGTCAAGTCGAAGAAGAACAAGAAGAACAAGGGCACTGCAAAACACAAGGAAGCCCATGTCACGGTTGAGGACGGAGAAGAAGAAAGGCCTTCGAGTGAACAAATTGACAACACGCAGGGACCTAATGTTTGTCATGCCGCCACGAGATAGCCGCCGTGGTCTAATCTTCGCTAACGCAAGGCAATAGGACTCACAGCCACCTACGACAGCTCAGGCTACGCTTGTTGAGGCTTCTGGAAGAAATGAAATTGGGTACAACCAATCGGAAGGATCTGCGGACGCAAAAATCCATGATGATGCATCTGGCAAAGAATGTGAAGATCCAGGGTCACCCTCGTCGGACCGGTTTGACGCTCTTGTTCGAGATCGAGACTTTCTCCGCGCCGAAGTCACAGACATGCGCAAATCTTTGGAGGAAATACAGCTCAAACACAGCGCAGAGATGGAAGCTCTCCAACAGAAACTGGACGACGCCGAAACCAAGAAGGAGCACGCAGAGACACAATTTCAGAAGCTTCTGGAACGAGTGAACACTATCAAAGCGCAGCTGGGTGAAAGGCTCAAAGAAGATGCTGTATGTTGAAGTACTTATCTCAAGCACCTTGACCTAGCGCGTGAGCTAAGCAAACCCACAGGAAGAACTTGCGCTAGCCAACTCCAAGATCGAGGAGCTCGAGGAACAAAATTCAAGCTTGAGAGATACCTTGGACGCGAAAAACTCGGAGTTGGCAAATCTCACCCAAGATAACGAGCAGAAGTCAAATGAAATTGCTACACTGAGAAGTCGAAGTAACCTATCTCAGCAGAATTGGTTGAAAGAGAAAGAGGAGCTCCTGGAACAAGAATCATATCTGCAGTCCGAGTTCGAGCAAGCAAAAGAAGCCATGCATAACTGGGAGATCCTCGCTATGGAGGAGCGATCCATAAGAGAGAGCCTAGGTGAGAAGGTCATCGACCTTGAAGAGCAGCTGGTCGCTCTTAAGGACTCGTATGAGAAAGTCGCTTCCGAGCGTGATTCTCAGATAGCCACCGTGGATGGTTTACAACGTGCTTTGCAAGAGATTCAATCAGGTAGACCATATCCTGTGTATATCAGCGCTTCTGGCTGATTTCGATGCTGACTATTTCTAGCTCGGAAACAAGAACTCCGTGACCTCGTGGAAAGCTCGAACACTCAGCTTGAGGAGCTGAGACAGGCTCTCCAAGGCGCCGAGGCTAAAGCTTTTGAGGCCGAGAAACTTCTTCAAGCTGCTCAGAAGGAGCTTGAAAGGGTAAAGCCGTTTGAAAAAGAAGTTAAGGAGAAGAACCTCCTGATCGGGAAGTTAAGACACGAGGCAGTGACACTGAACGACCATCTCACAAAAGCCTTACGATTCCTCAAGAAAGGCAGAGCTGAGGATAACGTTGATAGGTTAGTCGGAATTCGAGGCCTGCTGCACTGCTGGTTTATTTACTAAAGTTATCTAGGCACATCGTTACAAATCATTTGTTGCACTTTCTCGCCCTTGATCGATCAGATCCGAAAAAGTTTCAAATACTGCAGCTTATCGCAGCACTTCTGGGTTGGACGGATGGTATGCGAAGACATCATGCATACCCCATAATGCGAACTGTGAATTACACTGACACTTGACGACAGAGCAGCGTGAGCAAGCAGGCCTTGCACGCCCAGGAACATCAAGCACCGCCGGCAAGCTCAAAATACCGAGTATATCCATGCACCGTACACCCAGCACACCTACCTTAGCCACGGATTTCTTGGACCAGGGGAACCCGAGCAAAGAGTCATTGGCCGAGCTCTGGTCCAATTTCCTAGAGCAGGAGTCACAGGCTAGCGGGAATCAAGAATCACCGAAAACCTGAAGGGTTGTAAGTGCGGCCCTTGTCTTGAACTGTATAGAAAACTAGCATCTTCTCTACGATAAGCCGGTTCTTATCGAGTTCCACATTCGCTCATGCTTGCCGACTACCTTCGATCATTTTTTCCTTTTTTCATTCTAGACTTGCTTCGTAGTAATAATGCTGAAACCGTCCGCATGTTTGCGACGTTTGCACCAAACAGGCTCGCCCACCGCTTTCTTTCTGCCACCACAGTGGGGGACTTGGTATTGAGTGGAGAAGCCGTTGTTGGCCTTTTTTTGCACTTGTTTGGCCTTTTCTGCAAATATTTGGCCTATGCTTCGCCTATTCAGCTCTCGTACAGCTGGGAGGTTGAATGATACACGCCCCTCTTTGATCTCTTGGTACTCACGATTGACAATGGCTACCGGAGCTGGTGCGATCTCTCATTCTAACACCTATCGTCGTATTCCTCAAGCAGTGAACTGACCAATCCAGCAGCGCAAAGGCTCCGTCCAGTGGTGGTATCGGGTCCTTCTGGGACTGGGAAGTCGACTTTACTCAAGAGACTCTTCGCTGAATACCCCGATACCTTTGATTTATCCGTGTCTCGTAAGTCTACCCCTGCCAATCCTCACTGCCTCTGCCTACGAACTGTTTCTTTTGGTGGAATTGCGCTGAACGATGTCCGTTATATTCAGATACCACTCGGGCACCCCGTCCGGGGGAAGAGAATGGACGCGAGTATTACTTCACAACTAAAGAAGATTTCCTGGATCTCGTGAGCAAGAATGCCTTTATCGAGCATGCGCAGTTTGGCGGCAATTACTACGGCACTACTGTGCAGGCAGTGAAGGATGTTGCGCAGAAGGGCAAGATCTGCGTCCTCGACATTGAGATGGAGGTAATAATAGTCCCGCAACATGAACTGATATGAGGAGAGAAGGAGAGGGAAATCCATCACCGAATGAAGTATAGCTCAACCGAGACAACAGCTGACGACTATGAATTGCAATAGGGCGTAAAGCAGGTCAAGCGCACCGATCTTGATGCTCGGTTCTTATTTTTAGCGCCACCCTCCATTGAAGAACTGGAGAAAAGACTGCGCGGGAGAGCAACTGAGACCGAGGAGAGCTTGGCGGTATGGGTGTTCCTCGACATTCTTTCACTCCCCCAAACCCGCTAGACTGGCCCGCTGGGAATCTAACTTTGCTACAGAAACGCCTTGCTCAAGCAAAAAACGAACTGGAATATGCTGCGCAGCCTGGCTCTCATGATAAGACGGTCGTGAACGATGATCTGGAGAAGGCCTATACGGAGCTGCGGGATTGGATTGTCGACGGTGGTAACTTTGGAGCGCGTCAATGATTTTTTTTGGGAATGTCTTAGCGTGTTTTATTTCAATCAGCGCTGCCGTATACCTCAGCGTCCGTAGATACTGTCGGTTGCGATACTGGAACAATGCATCATCTGCCTTGGAAACTTCGGCCCACAGAAGTCCATTAATCAAGGATGTCCTTTCGCCGTCGACGAACATAAGAGAGATTAATTACATGAACATCAAGACTAAACTAGCAATTCGAATGTTAGTCTCTTTTCCGTCTGGAGACGACAGATCTAGGAAACGTGGTAGACCCAGTCACTCTCTTGAACGGAGAGGAGAAGATAATAAAGCAAAACTAAAAAAGAGTACAAGGCCTGATGAATAATATGAGGGCTGAAAAGGATATCTGTAAAAGGTTGCTAGAGTAAAATGGAAGTTGCCGAAGGAGAAGGCAGTGGAGGAAGAGAAGAGGGGGTCCTTTATCGTTGTTTGGGCGGGGACCGGAAATGACTGCAGTATGTTTATGGACCATGGCCAGTCGAAACTATTAGACTGATCCTGAGAGACAATTTCTACGAGCACCTAATAGCCGTTCATAGTCATCCGTTGCGAGTTGCGACTGAGTTCCCGGTCGGCAGAAGGGCTAATAGGCCGGCTGCCAGCAGAATGTGCCCCCGCAGCGCTGCTCTCCTTCAAGGCCAGAAGCTGCTTCGCACGGAAAGTTTCGTAGTGAATCTGGCTTGTTGTCTCAATCAGGTCTTGGAGGTGAGTGCGAGTGAGAAAGTTTCTCAAATAAACAAATTCGCAGTGGGTTTCGTCTTCGACATTGATGACACCCCAGCGGTTTTGTCGGCCGCGAACTTGTTGACCATTAACGACAATAGTTTTCTCACTGCCGACAACGGCGAATGGAATAATGTCCTAAGAGAGGGTTAGAGCCAGGTGGGCAGGGCATACAAGCAGCACGGGTAGTAGAAGGCCTGACCTTGATTTGGGCATTAACCGCACGCTCTTCGTCATCAAGTTCGTCATTATCATAGGGGTACATTTTCAGATTGTGGAAAGCGAATTCTTCCTTGATGCGCTCCTTGAACGCCTGGCGTTCCTCGAGAGTGAGCGAGTCTGCCTTGGCGATTACTGGAACGACGTTGACAACGTCTGA